AAATTAACCTACAATACACCTGAATACACAAGCTTGCAGTGATAACTTTTTATGTCTTACTTCAGCCAGGTTAAGTGAAAAATGACAGTTAAAATCGTTGTTTTCGTAAAAGAAAATCAGTTTACCTGACGCTCACATTAGCCAAAATTACACAAGTTATTATCAACTTAACTTTTCTGAATCTAATCGACTAATTGTCTCAGAGATTTGTGCCTGGTTATCCATAAAAGCAATTTCAATAACTACAAAATAGTCAAAAATATGAGCAGTATGAAGCAGAACAACTGAACCACAAGCTGCACACAGAATGTAGCCGAGAGTGCGCGGGAGACTTTGATCTGACTGGAAAGTCTGACTGAAAAAGTGACCAGAAATGCTCAACCTGGCGCATGCGCAGACGTTTTGCCGGGGTGTTGCCGCCACTAGGGTTCTTTCTCGAAGCAAGAGAGAGAACCGTGGGAACGAGGTTGAATAGTGTTCAGCAATGTGATTGATGGTGACGTCACCATTTCTTGTCGCTCCTTTGTGTTCGATCAGTCGCGTGCTAAGGTTTCTGCCGGTTTCACGGATGTAAGTAGCCTCCGTATAGTTGTAGCCTTGTGAGAGGTCGGGTTCAACGATGACTGGTCTAGTAATCTGTCGGTATGTGTCGGTTTTCTGTAAATTGTCGTTCGTAGTCTGTTGTTGACCAAGCAGTCTAGAAAGGTATTTTAACATTTTCCTCGATCCCCTTGGTAAACTGTTTGTTTTTTGTACTGGTAAATTCGCCAACTTTAAAAGCAAAAGAATATAAAGGCTTAGACCGCCCCCAGGTTGAGTACTGCTCAAGTGTTTGGAACTACCCTCGCTCAGGCGTTGAGAATAACGGTTCATATAAGATCGAAAGGATTCAGCGCCGCGCGGATCGGTGGTGCCTGGGCCGATACACACATCTAGCGTCACCAACATGCTTGAAGACCTAGGATGGCGTACCCTAGAGCAACGTCAGATTGACAGTCGGCTCACGGCCCTCTTTAAGAACACACGGGGGCACCTCTCATTGGCTTTTGCGCCCTGTCATGCGCAGGACACGACGCTCGCACTCGAAAAGTTTCATCCCTCTTCAAACTAGCCTGTCCTCTGAGTATCTATCCTTTTTCTCAAGAAAAATTATTCAGGGGAACAATTTGTCTGCTTCTGGTTTTAGCGAACACTGCTCTTTAGATGCTTTCAAAGCCTAAATGAAGCTTCCTGAATCATCTACCTGTTTATTAGCCTATTAAGTTAATTTTTTTATTTACTTTTTAATCTTTTTGCAGACCAACCCAGCCAATAATTCTCAAATGTGAGGGGTAGGCTGTGCACGTTAAATGTAAATGTAAAATATCCGCGTTCCGTCTGTTAAGGTGTTCGTAAAAATTGTCGATTTCGTCCTTGTGTACAGCGGTGAAAGTGTCGTCAACGTTGCGTGACCAAAGAGGTATAGTTCTACAACAACAGAAACTGGAGAGCCCATTAATACAAAAGCCTTGAATAAAAATATAATAGCAAGAAGACAAAGACCACTATTTTCTTACTATTTGCCTCTTACGATACTTTTTGGAACTTGAGCGTTATTTTAAAATTATTATCATTATTATTATTATTATTATTATTGTTGTTGTTGTTGCAGCTGCTGTTTTTGTTGTCGAGAGCGAGACGTTTTCACTGAAAACTGGACTAAAACGACCTTCCTACTTTCCACCATCTATCGGCACAAGGTCCTAAATAGCGAGCCACAAGACACAACACCTGGAGACAGATTCATCCACATTTTCCTTTTTTTTCTGTTTTGTTCAGAACTTTCGAGGTCGGCTTTTGCGGAGTTCCAAGTTCCCAAGTCAATGATTTAGGGACAGGCTAATATTGTCCTTGATTTGCTCTGTGAGTCCTCTGTGACTGGGACATGTGGGAGGATGACTTAAAACCCCGCAATAACAGTAAGGATATTAAGAGATAAAAGAAAATTTAGGCTCAACCTTGGTAAAAACCAAGCAAATTCTTTTAACTTGAAGCAATGCACTGACCGCAGTTACTACATTTAGTCAAATGTAAAAACTGAAGTGGTCAAAACTGCAGGAAAAACATTATAGGATCAAATAACTTTAGTAATATATGTCCGATAGAGTATTCATTTATCCCACGCGGAGTGACCCGGTTGGACACATGTCCTCTCTAAAAAGAAAAATTATTGGCTGCCCTTTGTTATCTTGCTCAAGTCGATGGGGCAACTGAGTCAGTGTTAATCCGGCGCGAAAAAACCAGCAGACCCTGCTAAGCATCAAAGCTAAGTGGGAGAAAATCTGAAGCCAATGGCAAGAGTGCGCATTTAGCAGCGTTTGTCTACTTTCATATGAGTAGGGTACCTACTTGTGGCAAAAATTTGGCCAAACAATACATCTCACAGTAACCCGTGCGTGTTCGCTTTTGTTTCCCCACTAAAATGCTCGGCAATGCTCATCATCGAGAGGCCTTTTTTGTATTGATTCTAAACGTTTCAAGAGGGATAACAGAAATGTAAAAATGGTACAACAACAGTGTATACAAGTTAACAGTTAACAAATAAAGAAGCAGGTTGAGTATGATCGTCCAGTTGAACGTAGTCCTGAATAGGACTGTTGTTTTTGACAGTGACTGATGTTTCGACAACCTGTTCGGTAGTCATCTTCAGAGTCAAAGTGAGTTGTATCACGCCAGTTGATGGTATTTAACTCTGGTTATTGACTTGATTGATGAATTAAGTCGCGATGTAATTGGTCGCCTGTCAGTTAAGCCGTGATGTTATTGGCTATGAAGACTCGTAATGTCATTGATGTGTTTCGATCCGTCTATTGTCACAATTAAACAGTCGTTTATTGTTAATCAAATTGTCAGTTGTCCAGTCGTTCTCTCCTAGTTAGTTTTGCATGATCCCACTAATAAGTCGTATGTACGACGATTTCACGAATACCTTGACGGACAGAACGCGGACATACAGCTTACCAAGGAGATCGAGGAAAATGGTATAATGCTTTTCCTCGACTGCTTGGTCACTCACGACAACAACAGAATACGAACGACAAATTACTGAAAACCGACACATACCGACAGATTACTAGACCAGTCATCGTTCAACCCGACCTCTCACAAGGCTACAACTATACGGACTTGAACGAGACGCGCGCAACTAGTTTGCGACTCACCTGACAACCTACAAGACGAGACTGACTACCTAAACAACGTTTTTAGTAAAAAACTACAACGTCGACTTTGTTAGACGGAACACTCACAGTAACACTGATTCCAACACTCAGACCAGCGTCAACTCTGGCCTTGTTACTATACGACTGCGACTATACGGTACCGTACACTATACCGTACATTGTTGTTTGTTTGTTGTTGTTTTACAAGATCAATGCTGCGACTGCCAGGCTACTTACATCAGTGAAACCGGCAGAAACCTTAGCACGCGACTGACCGAACACAAACGAGCGACGAGAAATGGTGACGTCAACAATTACTTTGCTAAGCATCATTTACAGACGAAACATCAAATTGACTGGGACTCTAACCAGAGTATAATACCATCAACTGACGTGATACAACTCACTTTGACTCTGAAGATGACTACCGCACAGGTTGTCGAAACGTCAGTCACTGTCAACAACAACAGTCCTATTCAGGACAACGTTCACCTGGACGATCAAACTGAACCTACTTATGAAATGACCCCTGGGTTCAAACTTCTCACAAATTAAGAAGCCTTGACTGTGCTGTGATTTGTTGTAAAGCACGCAGGAAGTGGCTAGAGCACGAAAGAAGTGTAGGGGGAAACATAAGACATGTCGAGTGTTTCTCCCTGCTTCTTGACGCTTAAATATTAGCCATTACAATCCTTTTTAGAATGGGCCAGATGATTTCATTGGTTGAATAAGACAAAAGCTGTCAAAGCATCAAAGCTATCTCATAGTGAAACGAGCGCAACGTTCTGTGAATTTCAATGCAGAAGAAATGTACAATCAGTTTCTAAAGGTAAAAAGTGCTTTTAAAACCGGCCGAATTGCGGCCTATGAAACCTGCGCGTCTTTAACATGACAAAGTGCTTTAGCTTCGTATCGAAAAGTGCCCAAAAACTGAACCTGAAAGTAAAAATTCTATAAAATTCGCCGACGTCTTCGCAGAAGTAATGCTGTAGTCTCGCGGTCGTGTTTTGAGCTAATGTTATGAATGAACAAACTAAAACAACAGACAGAGAAGTTATTTCTTGAACATTTTTATTCCAAAACTAAGAAGTTAAAATCTAAAAGTAAGTGAAATCGGATGAGCACATGCATGACAAAATTCGACACAAAATCCATCTTAAATCGGGGTGCATTTTGTAATTTTTCTTTTATAGTCAAAGACAAAATTTATAAGAAACGTTTGTGATTTATACATACATAAATTCCCTTTTAAAAACGTAATTTTCTTGACCATAGAGTAAAAAAGGTACCTGAAAAGTCTTCCAAAACTTCGCTGCCGTGAATGAAATTTTGCGCTCCAACGTGAAGAAAACATTTTTGAATTCCTCGAAAGACAATTTCATAACCAAAAGCTTTCCTTGTCCAACAAAAAAAACTGAGCCCCCTTTTGAACTTTCCCTTTCAGTTTGTATCTTTTAATTAACGGTGTATTTTTAACCCTGAAATGCGCAACTTTGGTCTTGAAAACTACCGCATTGAGTGATTCACTCTCATCCATGCTTTTTCAACCAATCAGAGTCCACGTTATATCTGAACTTTATTATAATTTTTAATAACACAGTATGGAAAAAAATTTTTCTGCACAGCTGTATTGAGCTGAAACTTGAGTTTTCATTTTTTCATAAAAATGATTTTATTTTAATTTTCTGAGAAAAAATTACTTTCAGTCCACAGTCTGATTCAGTTGATGCATTTTTCGTTTGGTAAGATTTCCATTTAACCCCATACATTTATTATGCACGCAACAATTTCATAGTTTTTCTCCCAAGTAGCGTTCATATCAACAGAGTCGAAACATGTATGCACAATAATGTATGGAGCTATACGGAAATCTTACCTAATCGTTCGTCTATTGTAAGTTTACTGCATTTGACCTCAACCTATATGGCATCAAAAACAGAGAAAAAAAGGTCTTCACGTCTCGCAATGTGAACATTAACGAGGATGCTTTTATCAGTTTAAAATCGCTATAACTCCTTCGCAAAATGTTTAACTTTCTTCATTAGTTCTTTACTTTCCGTCGCAGTTTTCCTCACGCATGGCTCGGCATTCCACAAGGACACCATCAATTCGATCCATTTTGTAGGAGGGGGGTGGAGTGTACCCCCGCGTCTTTCTTCGCGTTGTTTCCTCTTGTCTATTTGAAGGGTAACCTCGTCTTGACTCCAGGAGATCGCTTCAAAAGGAACCATTTGACCAAACCACATTTCCCACATCATCAACCCGAAGCTGTACATGTCCACCTTGGAATCATAGATTTTGTGTTCATCGAGGCGTATCTCTGGAGCCATGTACAGTGGTGTCCCACAATATGTTCCCGTCATCTGGTTTTTAAAGGTGGCCAGCGCCAAGTCTGCTACTCTGATTTGCTCGTGTTTGTTGATCTGAGAACGAATGTTAAGCAATTTTCATGCAAAGTTAGCAAAATGAAACGAATGAGTGTTAGTTATCTCACAGTCTGAAGAAAAGAACTATTTCCCTCTTACTACTATTCGTTATTTCGCATATAAATGTACCTGTTATTAAAACTCAGTTATTACTCAAGAACCCTGTGAGCAAAAATTTTGTCATTTAACCATATATATGAACCTTTATAAGCCCAAAACATGAAACGGTTTTTGGAAACTCGGAAAATAGTCTCCCCTTTTCAGAAAAATTGACACAACCTGATCGTAAATAAATTCACCGCTATAGAAACGGTCAGCGCCCCTAATTGTTGACTCTGAGGAGGAGTCCACTACAATATTACTATAGCCACGCAAGGTAAGTCCATACGAGTTATTTCAACCATCAATAGCACACTACTCAGCAGAACGAGCATAAGTTTAATTTCAGTAGCAACACAAGACATTGCGGTCTACAATAAGGTTCCAGTGTACACAAAAAATCCCTGAACGATTCAAGGCTAATCGTTTGCGTCCACGGTTTGAAAGGATACAAGGGAGAATTGTGGACCGTGTAGTAATTGAAATACATCACTTACTAAGACATTAGCAAGCTTAAGATCCCGATGAACGATTTTCTTGCCGTGAATGAATTCCAGAGCATCTAAAATGTCAATACCCCATTGGCATGTGATAACTGCTGCGCTCTTTGTCTCCCACGGTTTTTTTTCTCTGTTTTGGAAGATGTGATTCTTGAGAGTTGCATTGCACAACTCAAAGACGAGGGCGAAGGAACGCAGTTGGTAGTTTTGGACATCCATAACTACTCCATGTAACCCCACTATATGGTTGTGGTTTAGTTGCCTGCAAAAAATAATATTTTATCTCCCTTAACAACTCAGTGGTCAGAGTTGACAATTTTTAAATGGTTTAGAAACTAATTTTGCAAGGAGCAAACTTACCCTTTTTCTCAGAAAGCTTAGTTCTATATTAGTTCTTAGTTCAATATTTAACATTTTGCTCACGGGCAATCAAAAGGTAGGACGCATAACATCTGGCGTTCGAGAACACTGAGGAGACCCTATTTGCCCCTTCTCCCTTCTCTCTTTTTTTCTAAAACGCCTGCCAACAGTTCATTCCACAGACATGGAAGGTAGAAAGGTCGCCAACGGAAGCGAATCAACTATTAGCTTAGGGCGAATCAACTCTTTTGTGAAAGAAACTAGCTTACATCAGTATTTTTGCTTCTTGGAGGAAGTACGCAACGTTTATCGCCTGGGGAGTTTCTTTTAGCTTTTTGACAGCTACTTCTTTAGTTCCTTCACGCCCTGAAAGGCTGATCTCTCCCTTGTAAACTTCGGCAAAAGAGCCTAGCCCAAGTTTCCCCTTGTAAGTAAGAATACTTTTGTCAATTTCCCAGGAAGGGGACATCACACGTATTCCATGCTGAATGGCATCAAAGGTTAGGTTTTGACTTATATTCTCAAGCTTTTCGTACAAAGGAATAAGCCTCTCGACAGTCAATTTTCTTGTTTCTTCATCCTCGCTTTTGGTGAGATCCTTGCATTTCTTCTCATATTTGTCAAGCTGCTCCCGATAGCATCCTCTGATACTAGAAATGCGTTCCCTCTCTTCGGTAAATTCTTGCGAAATCCGATCAACAATTACTTCTTCAATCCAGTTTTTCTGAAGGAACTGTGTGGATAGTTGTCTTAGGACTTGGCAGGGATTACCCCTCAGATGCCTTTCGTTCAGGATTCTGTCGACAGCGAAATATCCAATCACCGACGCGGATAAAACACTTGCAGCTAAACCAGTTGGGAACAGAACTGGCATGAAAACGACGCTTGTCAGGAAAATAAATTTCTTAACTCTTGCATCCAAGGGAGAACGCAATTTATCAGGACCAACCTCAAATTGGAATAATGCGTCCTCCGTGGATTCGCCAACGAGGACCCGATCGATGTCTCGTACGTCTTTCTCGAATTCAAAGAATCCTTGACGAAATCTCTCCTCCAAGTCCTCGTGAGCCTTGGCAAATAATTGATCCCTCTTTTCAAGAGTCTGGAGAAAATTTTCCAACCGTTGCTCAAGACATTGGTCGTAAATCTTTTTCAGGTGTTCCACATTCGCTCGTTTATTGTTGTCGATTTGCGGCAGATCCTTTTTTTCCCATAGGCAAAACGCTCTTCTTACGTCATCCTCTAGAAAATAGGATCTGACTTGCTCGGAAATATTGTTCAAGTGCTTGGAGAGTGCTTCTTGAGTCTCCTTTATGAAGGATCCTCGTCTGAGTTTATCCAGCTTCTTTTCAACGTCTTGTTGAGCTTTGCGTCGCTCTTCTCGGTTGCGTCCTGCGTTGTTAACTTCAATCTTAACCTGATCAGATAAGGACTTGAGACAGCCACTTGTCATTCTGGTAAATTGTGAGAAAAACGTTAGTTTCAGCTTAAAACAGTACACGGTGAAATCTGTCAATAAACGGACCCCGTGTTAAGTCTGTTAAGGGGACACGAACTTTCGTAAGTCTTACACACATCCTCCCATATTTTCTGTGATAGGTACTAGCAAGGGTTCAGTGTCTGCTTAATGACTAGTTAAAAACTGTTTTTTGCCGGTCTGTGCGGTCGGTAGCTTCATCTGTTTGTCACAAGTTTGTAACCAAATATCTGTAATTTAGTACTGAGGAAATCCCCTAAAACATATACTATTCAGGAAACACAAATCAAAGTATAAGTGATCTCTATTTGCTGTTTTTTCAGTACTTGACAGCTCTATAATAGGAGACCCCTATAGGTCTTCGGTCGCACTCTCGCTGACGTGTGACGGATAAAACGATAATATTCAAAAGGTTTCAGTGGCTCTTTTGTCTGAAGATAATGAACTCAGAAGGCTTGGTAGGTTTTGATTTTAAATTCCGATGATGTAATACGGAAACTAGCAATATTGGCCAAGAGGTTTTCGTATTAAGCACTCTCTTCAGGGGCTTAAATTACCTGTAAAAGTGTTCGGTTTTCTTCTCGAGACAAAGCGGAAGAAGGCGTCGTAATCCATTTATGAGGCTGCTTAAATCATCACTCATAACACCAAACTTCTGCTGGATTTGGGCTGCAGTGAGCACTGACATTTCAATTACCTGGGATTTCCGATTAAGGTTAGGGACTTCTTTCTTGAGTTCGCAGATGATTTTATTTTTAATTTTTTCTTTGTCTGAGGGATTGGTCTTTGTTTGCCTTTCGACGTCGTCCCACTTGTTGCACACGAACAAAGCAGACTCAGAAGTGAGGCCGTTGCATTGGTCCTCTCCGTAGAGTTCTGTCCATTTCTTCACAATACGCATAAGCTAAACAAAATAACCAAAATTGAATGATCACCTCAAATGTTTGGGCAAGACCATCCGTGTGAGTTTGCGTACAGGCCTTAAAGTTGGAAAACACTACTTTGTGGCTCCGTTTGTTCAGTGATTCGTTTTCCTAAAGTGCATGCATTCCAAAGTTTTTGAAATGTTTTTCCAAATATACACGGGAGGCTTCCCATCGGTGCAACTGGAATTTTTTTGGGAAAAGCGCAGGTTCAACTCTAAAGGTGGTTCCCGCGGTCGGTCGAATCCAACCAAAGCTTTATAACGTCTCATTTCCGTTCAGAAATTTTGGTTTCCAGTCCCGCCTCACTGGAGAGAACCAAAGTTTTGCTTGCAACGCAAATGAAACGCAGGTATGGTATAACAACAATGAACCAGCTAATATAAGACTCTTTATAAAACTGACATAAGCTTAAGGGACTCCAAAACGTTTCTTCCTACATTTCTTAAAACGAACCCGAATTAAGCGCCCATAACTACGAAATGGCTGCTCTGTTCAACTTACCCTGTCGTCTTGTATTCCACCTGCATTCGGACTGTTGATTACGTAGATAAAGGCGAAGGCTTGTGTCAAATATTTCAAGGCAATGTTACCGACTTGCTCCGAATCGCCAATGCCCGGACTGTCTACAATGACCACACCTCCCTGCAAGAGAATAAAATTTTAGATCAAGAGTGTGCCAAGAGATTTGAGATGACATTGACCACGTTGAATACACAACTAAGCTGAAAGTTACGTCACATCAGCTGAGCTTTTCTTCGTAGTCTTAAGTGGTCAGATTCAAGAAGGATTTGGGATAGACTACCATGCACTTATCAATGGAGCAGATAATATTATGGCTATCTACCTTATCTGCTGGCTGTCCATTACTACCCTTTAAGGACGTGAGGCTCACTGGAATCATATTAGTAAATCCAGTAAGCTCGGACACGACACGTGTGGAAGAAAAGTCAGTGTAGGTATAGAGAGAGGATGAGGTAAAAGAAACATCCAACTGGCACTTAGTAGAAGAACCACGGAAAAAAAAATGGAAAACCGTTTTCAGCCTTTATCTACGATCGGTGCTGATGTAGAAGAGACTGAAAAACTGATGAGCCAAAGCCCAAGATGCTCAATTTCCAAGTAAAACACTGAAGCAACTCGTACAGTGACGTAATCTGCACACAATCCCGAGCTCTAGGTCAGCTTTGCAGCGACGTGGCTCTATCAGTAACGGCGAAAACGTGTCCAAATGAGAAAAACAAAGTTGCTAAACCCTTACCACATATCACTCGTAAAAATATCAAAACCACCAAAAGCGGACAGAGAAAATTTAAATCCATGATCATTGACTATTGTCTTTTAAATTACCTTCAACAGTGAATTAGGTGTCTTGATTTCAATTTTTTCACACCAGTCTTCATCATTGGTCGGTTTTTCGATGAATTGTTTTAAGGTGTCAGACTTGATATCCCCCAGCCTAAGGGATGTTTTTTCTTTGTTACCAAAATGTATAACTGCCTCTTGCTTGGCTCCATAAGATATTTCACAGATAGTTAGAGTATTTTGTAGAACGCCAGTCGGAAGAACTTGTTCATTTAATAACAGGTTTATCAGGCTACTTTTCCCTGCGCTGGTCTCTCCTGTTGAAGATAAAGTTCAGTAAACTTACGTTAGTAAGTGTTGTCGTCTTATAGAAACGTGCTTTACACCTTTACCACTTGCATTTAAAATTGTTTGGGTTGCATGGGGATTGATTTCGTAGTTAGAGCTCTGTCACATTAAAAGGTTTATTAACGGAATATATAAATTCGCTAAGATTTATAAAATGTTATAAAGGTGATAGTCTTCAAAGCCGCGAGTAAACATGGGGAAAAATAATACCCTTAAATCTGTGAAAGCTTACCAGCTACGAGGACAGTGAATTTCTTGTTTTCGAGATCCTTGTTGCACTTCTCAGCTCTGTTCACAAAGTCGGCCTCTTCTTGCAGGGAGATTACTTGCGTATCGGAAAGGACTTCCTTTATTTTCGAATAATAGTCCTTTAAAACATGCCGTCGCTTACGAGTTTGCTTAAGGTCTTTCACGATCTTGTCGTAGCCCTATAAGAACAAATAAAGTAATAAGTAGCATTAACATTTTCCCAGGAAATTGTACCCCTCGTTAAGTAAAAGGGATACTGAACAGTCTAACTCTCTCACAACAGACAACTCGTTGCGTAAAAAAAAAGATCATTCACTTCCTTAGTACTATCATGATCACTGTACTTCCTATTTCTACTTATTTTTGTAATATATAACGTTCTTTCGCGCTAAATCAGAGGCATTTTTGGAAGAATTTGTTCCTTATGAAAGGAGGCCGAAGAAAAATGGAAATAAAGATCCCAGGTTCTTACGCCTTTAGATTTTGTCACAACATCGTCTATATATTTCTTTTCTTTTTATATTGCTCTATGATACCCCCTTATTTGGCCTACGGACTGGTTTCTTGGGGACAAGCTGCTAATTCTTACCAACACAAATTACTCGTCAGTGCTACAGAAGCGTGCCCTTCGTTTAATCTATTTTTCTAAGACAAGGGAGCACGCCTTTTCTTCTGTCTCCTGCCATGCTTTATTTTAAAACCGTTTCCACTTTAATGCATGATATTTCATGTAAGTTTTCACCACCAAGCATTTGCTCTTTCTTCACCAAAACAGATGAAGTACACGGACATAAAACGAGGTCTTCTAATTCAGGGACATTTCGAAAACGAATCAACAACTTTATTGATTTATTTAGCTTGGCCTAACTAGAAAACAATAATTATATACATAAAATTATTAGGCAGTGTGACCACTACAGCATAGCCAATTACAGTGGATCCCACGTTAAAAAAATCATATATATATAAATAAAATATGTAACTAATGACTTAAGCTTGCAATACGTAAACAGGAAAAAAAATACGAAGACGGACGTTTAAATTCCTAAAAGCAGCACGACGGCGGGCGCAGGAAAGTCCTCGCTATATTGCACCTGGGACAGATTGCTCTCCAGGTTCTGATTTCGTCAGCGTCGTACAGATCTAGAGCCCTAATGTAGTATTGGAGTAGTAAACGTTTAAAAAGAGCCAGAGGAATGTGATTAGTGCGTAACTCAGGGGGCAGAATATTCCATGTGCGGCACGCGCGTATGAAAAATGAGCGTTATAAGTTTTACTTTGCTTAGAGATAGAAGTAATAGCATTCCTGCTCGATGACCTGGTAAATCTCGTTAAGGATTCATCGGTACCTTTAATTCACCAGGATCCGAGTGATCGTGGATCATTAATCCTCATCCGGAACATCCCCAAAGAACGCATCAACCACTGTCTTAATCATTCTCGAATTGTAGTCTCAAGGAAGCCCGAATTATCGAGGCGGGACTTTTTAAAATTGTGACCTTTTTATGAACATAGGAAAAGCATACCTCCAGTAAAGTTCCATTACTTTTTTTCAGTTCTTCGATCCTTAAGTCTCGAGCCCTGACCATGCTGTCCTTTGTATCCTGATAACCGTTAGTATCCACACGGAGAAGCTCTAAATCATTTACAAGTTCTGCAATACTTTCTTTACGACCAGTCCTTGGTGAAGCTCTCTGCGCCATTTCCAGTTGTTTATGCACTTTTAGCTTGAACTATCTGTAACACTACCTGCCTTGGTTAGATATGAAATTGAATTATATCAAAAACTCATTAGGGGTTGAAACGTGTAACTCGCGTTCAATGCTCGTGAATATTCACTTTTACCATATTTGGAAACCTTAGTGGCAGATAGCCATTTTAAACAAATGGCCGCCACGCGAGCACCATGCAGATGTTTTAAGACAAGAGGTCTGCATTTCAAGGTTAAAAATACACCGTTAAAAGACAAAAAATGGAAAGAGAAAGTTTAAAAGAATGCTCAGCTTTCTTTTTCTGGAGGAAGGGAAGCTTTTCATCAAGAAATCGTCCTTCGAGGAATTCAACCTTGTTTTCATCACGACGGAGCGCATGGTCTGTTTTGGAATGCAACAAGGGCAGTGAAGTTTTTGCTGAATTTTCAGGTACATTCTGCACTCTATAGCCAAGACAATTACGTTTTTGAAAGGGAATTTATGTATTTTTAAATGTTTCATAGACGTTTTATAAATTTTTCGCTTCGGCGCTAAAGAAAAATTACAAAATGTGTCCCAATTTGAGATGGATTTTGTGTTGAATTTTGCCATGTGCTCAGCTGATTTCACTTGCGTGAACGGATCCACGATCCAGATAGTGTTTTCCGAATTGCTTTAAAGGATTAACTTTTTGAATTTTGAATAAAAATTTTCAAGAAACGGCTTCTCTGCCTATTGTTTTGAGTTTGTTCATTCATAAAATTAGCTCAAAACACGATCGTGACTACAACATCCAAGCTGAATTTAAGCTTAAACGCTCGGCGGGGCTAAAGTGCAGGTCACAGGTCACAGGTCAGGTTAAAGGTCACAGGTCACAGGCCAGGTCACTGGTTAGACCACAGGTCACTGGTCACAGGTCACAGGTCAGACACAAAAACAATGGGACACTGGACAAAACTGTTTTTGATTGACATTTTATTATACAAAAATAAAACAAGCCAAGGAACCTCAATTATATTTTTTCTGTTCTGAACTTTACCAAATCCCACACATGAGAAAATATAATCATGTTGATCACGCAAGGAGGACTACTTGCGTTACAGCGTAACCAAAGTTGGTAACGAAATCACAAAGGTACGCAAAATCACGTGACTTGTTAGAAAAAACGAGTCTCAAAACGAAGGGTTGTTGCGTTAAGAATATCATGACGTGTTTGTGGATGTTTTGAAAAGAATTCGACGGGAAAACGGAAGAAAAACTTAAGGACAGTCTAAAACTTATTAGACCACTGAAATATGGCAATTTTCTTCAGACTTTCCTCGCCCTAAACTCTTCTTGCCACTAGATCGGTCTTCCATCTCTTTTGAAGATGGCGGCCTGTTGCTCGCGTTTCGTACCAGTCACAAAATACTGCTGTGTTAAAGTGTAGTCGGTTAAGAACTTCAGACAATGCTATTTGGGCCTCTCGAATAGTTGCTAGACCATATTTCTCGGCTCTTCTCCCAAGAGCTTGCCATTTTCTCACGTTCTGTTGCACAACAGCTTGAAAAACCGCTGTTAGATTTGCCTCGTGGGCCTTAGGTGGGAGCATTCCGCCATTACAACTTGAATGTTCGACTCTGTAAACTGCTGATGTATCAAAGGATTACAGTGCTGGATTTCAATGACTCGCTCCAAGTTATCTTTGCTGCATGATTTATTTGGAGATGACATTCTAATAAAACGACAACACGTCGTTTTCAGTGAAAAACATGTGATTTGTTTTTCGTACAAATCACATGATTTTGCACACCTTTGTGATTTCGTTACGAAGTTTGGATATGCTGTATGATCAGCATGAAAATATTATTCCATGTGTGGAATTTAATATTGTTGAAAGGACAAAAATATCATCAAGGTTCCTTGGCTTATTTTATTTTTGTATAGTAAAACGTCAGTCCAGAACAGTTTTGTCCAGTGTCCCATTGTTTTTTGTGTGACCTGTGACCTGACCTGTGGCCTGTGACCTTTGACCTGACCTGTGACCTGTGGCCTGCAACCTGACCTGTGACCTGTGACGTGACCTGTAACCTGTGACCTGCACTTTAGCCCCGCCGTTAAATGCTTCTCACATTCATTACACGCATCGCTTTTTGCGAAGATGTCAGGTTCAGGTTTTGGACACTTTTCGATACGCAGCTAATAAATTTTATTCGAAAGTATTTTTTACTGTTTATTCTAGACTTTTAATATAAGAATTTTAAAAGGCTATTTGCAGTATAAGTTTACTGTGCAGAGGGTCAACGAGGCATCGTTGTTTGAAGTGACACCTTGAAGAAGCTGCGAGGACGTCAATGGGTTTCATAATGTTATGTTTGACCCGGGTGGTGAGGCAATAATATCCTGCTCAGTGTTTCGGTAAGATTCCTGGTTTCAACCTTTGAAACCTTTCTCTGCTTTCGGGAGTTTTGCCCCCGTTTGTCGGCCAAGCGGGCACGGGAAGGTGAAGTAAAATTACTTCACGTTGTTTACGAAGTTTGATTAGTCAGTTGTCTCTTCTTCTCGTTCCAAATATGGTACTTTCGAAAATGAATAATCACGAGCATCGGACAAAGCAAACATATGAGAGTTACACGTTTCAACCCCTTATGAGTTTCTGATTATATCTTAACCTAGATCATGGTTTATTTGACATGAAATATGATTTTTCTTTCGTTTCAAAGATGCGATGCATGAAACGATAAAAGGCCTGATATTAAACTTGTGATACTTAATTTGAAATGATAAGATGAATGTTCTTAATAAGCAATTGAGGATTTCAAATCATGATGTTGTGATTTGAATCAAGATTTATTTTACCAAATAGACGCTTTCAGTAAAACCCCGCTACTGAGAACCTGGATTTTAAGAACCTGTTCGCCTAAAATTTGCCAGTGAAACCTCTTCTACATAAGAACCTGTTTAGCGTGAAATTTGAAACCTGTTCTTATTTTCTAAAATCTATGGAAAAATTCTGTATACTTAAGCGAATATTACATAAGTCAATATTCAGTATCCTCTTTTGAGGGAATAGGTGCCTTATCACTCCAACTGCAATTTAAATGCCAATCCCGTCAATGAGGTCAATACTTTATTTCTTCTTTTTAGGGTCATTTTTACATAACTTCTGATTTGGTATGCAGATTTTATGTGAGGAATAAGCTTAACCACTAAATGCTCTTACCTAAATTTTATTTCTGTTTCAGAAAATAAGGACCTATTTAAGAACCTAAATAGCCTAAACTTCTGCTAACTACCATTTATGTAAGAACCTGTTTAGGCTAACTTGGAAAAATCCAGGTTCTTAGTCGTGGGGTTTCACGGTAATGATTTCAAATACCAGACGTAACTAATCGATGACATTAATGACATCAATGAAATCAATGAGTCATCAATAGGTAATCGATGGGTAATCAGTTGATTAGTCATTGATTTTGTCCGATATTCAATGAATGATCGATGAATAATCGATAGGCCACAAAATTTTCATTCATTGATTGGTCATTGATTAGTTTCGATATAATCTCGCGGGTACGCAAACCATACCAATCAAAAATAAAAAAACAAAGATTTCTTTGGCATGAATGTCACAATACGAGCTTTATTTATTCATGATTATTCAGCAACAACGGTATTTGAAGGCCCTGAAGTATCTTCAGTAGAGCCGTCATAGATTTCATTGATGTCGATTAGTTACGTCTGGAAGTTACTGCCAAAAAGATGTTACCGATTCACACTGTGAAGTTACGTTATTACTGCTCTCCTGCTTTGTTAAGAAACGTTTAAATGCTTGAATCGAAATGAGATACATTTGTGGACAGTACCACTCGTTAGACTCGTTAATATTTTCCCTAGATCACATTTACTCATTTAGTTTCTATAAATCTGGATAAATCAAAACAACCACCTAAGACGTGGAAATTACATCGCCCAAAATTTGGCGACAAATCCGGACCTTGTTTAGTCGTCCGCGCAAAAATTGAAATCAATTCTTGATGATAGATCTTTTTCACATGACGTCACGGTGGCCATATTTGTGTACAAAACAATGAATCGGCGCCATGTTTGTGTACAAAAAAAATCCTGTGGGAATTGTACCCTTTTCACATGTAAAAACTATCTTTTATTCCAAGCAATTTGCAAAGCTCCTGTACACGTGACTGAAAACGATCTATAGAAGGTCCGCAGACAAAGAGAAAATAGCCTGAACTGACCGGCTACCAGCACGCACATTAGGAGGTGGGTTTGCGGATTAACTACGTTAGTTTTGTTGAAGTTTGCATATAATTTGGTAGATAAGGTATTAATGAAGAGAATGAGATTTCGCCAGGCTTACACAAGTATTACAAGATGTTAACCAACTCGGGATTTCAAAGGGAAATGTCATATACAAAGTACCATGCAAGTTAAACATAAATTCAGTCCGCAAACTTGAACAAAATCTGTATAAATTTCAGAACTCAGGCACAATGATAGAGAGTAAGTATTTTTTCCTGGACTCTTCTGTCTACATCTATTGATTGCGAAAACTTTTTTTTGACAAAGGTCTACTTTCTGAGTACGTACTTACCTATTGCAGGTTCTTATTTGGTAAGTGAGAATCTGACAAGTATAGTTGCAGCAAGCGTCTTCGTCGATTACAATTAGTACAATCACTGAGGGAGAGAGTAGGTCAGATTATAGCTCAATTAAATAATGCTGCAGGGTACGGAGAGGTCATTATTTATGTTAATTTCACGTTCTGCGAATAAATTGAAAAGAGCCGGTAGACGTTGAAGAAAGAAATGGATGACTGCAACTGACCACCTGAATCAGCTTTGTTAGCTTGAACAAAGAATGGCTATTTTGATCAAATCGGTCAAGGTTATTTAGCACGAAAAGGAGGGGGTGATTGCTGACTCTATAGCTTTGACCCAGTAATTAGTTTTTGCTGATTTAATTCACGGACCTAAAAGAGAACTGATTGCAATTTTCGCTATGACATTAATAAATTCAATATGCGACTAGCATTTGTGAAAAGTAAACTGTTACCCCATGCTGTTGCTGTAAATAAAGTCCCAGCGTTCTAGAATAATTTTTAACATTCCCTAGCTGTTGTGATCGAGCATCTGTGGAGTCTTGGCTAAAATCGTCTTAGGAGAAAAATTATTTACCACCTGGTATCCTTTGTAATACTTGAAACTTGTTAAATTTTCTTCTTTTTTCTGCCTAAAATATGAAAAATGTGTAACAAAGCTCGGAGAGAGGCTGGCCAAACCTGTAATTTACTAAGGCGCTATCAATAAACGAATAAACAATAAACAAATCATTGCCTTTTAGTTTGTGACTTAGTCGAAAGCGTGCTACTAAATCTAATCTGATTTGAATTTTGGCCGCTGTCAATACATTCTCTATCAGATTACGATGTTGCAATGTAAAGTGATTGGCAGATGCTCGTGGAACATTTGAATGTTCGCTTCGTTTGGCCTTTCTCGCTGGAATTTAATTTACATATTAACCAAGAGAATCGAAACTTAGGTTATGTTTATACTATAACAAATAGCTGTTCGTTCCGACACGAAAAGCTATCCGGCATAGTATGAACACCTATCCAATATGTGACTCTCCGCTTGAGAGATCGGCGCGGGCTAGCTTCGCTCCGTTACAAAAATCGCGCCGAAATCACCATTCTTAAGGTCGATACACACTAGGCGACAAGTTGCAGCAGCAAGTAGCGGCGACAGATCACTCCGTGTGTACAGGTCCGGCGACTATTTGCAGCAACATGTTGCGGCGACACATCGCAGCGACAAATCGCTTCGTGTCTGTGCAACAGAATTTTGTCGCCGCCACAAGTAGCACAAATTCTGTCTGATTTGATTTTTTGCAACGTGTCGCTGCGACAAAATTCTGTTGCAGAGACAAAGATTTTCACAAAAATTCTTCATTACACACGAAGCGATTTGTCGCAGCGACGTGTCATCGCGACATGTGGGTGCAACTTGTCGCCTAGTGTGTACCGACCTTAACGCGTGAACGGAAGCCCTATCTGGTTTTCGTGGGCGTCGATAAAACCCAGAACGAGGAACATCCCGGAACATTCCGGAACATGAAAAAATTAAAATATTTTTTTATGAAAAATAATCAATTAATTAAATAATAATATTAATAATAATAATAAATAATAAAAAGAACAATAGATCAAAAACAATTTTTGCAAAAATTTATAACAAAAAATAAATAACATAACATAAAAACGAAAAATAAAGAAACAAAGAAAGAAAGAAAGTAAAAGAAACTGGTATCATATCTGAGTATGAGAAAACAGTAGTTTGTCGCAGTGAATTTTTTGGGCGAGTGAGGGTCCATTCAAATGACAGTAATGAGTGAAGGCTTGCTTCTAAATTCAAAATATATTAAAATGGGTCGCGTGGAGAGGGTTTTCAAGCTTTCGTCACACAGCCACCTCTTGTAAATGTTTGCCATGCGGCTTAACGGTTATCCATTTACGGCTTTGCAACCGTAACAAGAGCTTAGGGGCTCGTCGCTTTGGACTTGGATAATTAAATTAAAGATTCACATTCGCCGTGAATAGTTGCAGTGGCAGCGGTAGCGCAGCGGTAGTTTCTAACTGTTATCAGTTAGCCTGAATTTTAGCCGTCTCCCCGCAAACTCCTCTTGCGACTTGAGGAGACGTCTGAAATATCATGCTGACTGTAAACAGTGTAGAAACTACTACGGATGTGAGCATTGTCCACTAAAATCCAAAGACAGGAGCCCCTATACTCTTCTTAAGTTCTCAGAGCCGCCTAGTCTGTAAGTAATTTATGTCAACCTCAAGTGAAGCTAGCAAAGCACCTCAAGTAAGCAAATGTCTGTTATATATAAGGAGACTATATGTTGGCTTGAAATGAGCTACTTACCGACTTGGCCTGACTTGAAATACTGCAGGGACATTTCAGACCATTGCAGAACCGTAAATGGATAACCGCCAAATGATTAACTCACGGCAAACAATTACAAGAGGTAGCTGTGTTAGGAACGCTTAAAAAACCCCCCTCCTCGCGACCCATTTTAATATATTTTGAATTTAGAAGCAAGCCTTCACTCATTACTGTCATTTGCATGAACCCTCACTCGCCCAACAAATTTTAATTTGTTGCGACAAATTATTGTTTTCTCATACTCAGAGAGGATCCCAGTTTCTCTTTCTTGATTATTTAATTATTTTTCGTTTTTTTGTTATTTTACGTTATTATTAATTTTTACAAAAATTATTTTATTATTATTATTATTATTTTATTATATATTTTTTTTTTTCATGAAGATTATTTTTATTTTTTCACGTTCCGGGATGTTCCGGGATGTTCCGGAAAGTTCCGTGTTCCCGGTTTTATCGACGGCCGGTTTTCGTGCCGGTGCAAA